GATCATTCACGGTAATTTTACACAACCCAATTCTCTCTTCGTGACATCAAATGGTGATATTTATATTGATGATGGTAAGAATGCTCGAGTACAGAAATGGATCGTAGAAACAAATATCTTTGTCACGGTGATGAATGTCGACTCAGCATGTTATGGTTTGTTTATCGATATCAATGATACTCTTTACTGTTCATTGCCTAGTGATTATCAAGTGGTGAAAAGATCATTGAATGATGCTGCGATGTCTTTAAATCGTGTTGCTGCTGGAACAGGTATTGGAGGATCAGCCTCAAATCAACTCAATCGTCCTCGTGGAATTTTTGTCGATGTGAATTTGGATTTATATGTGGCAGATTGTCTAAATCATCGAGTTCAGCTATTTCAGTCAGGAGAATCAAATGGTATCACAGTAGCTGGAAATGAATCATTAAATCCAACAATTAGACTTGATTGTCCAAGTGGAATTCTATTAGACGCTGAAAAATATTTATTCATTGTGGATAATAACAATCATCGTATTGTTGGTTCAAGCTTGAATGGTTTTCGATGTTTAGTTGGATGTTATGGAATGGGCTCACAATCTAATCAATTGAATAAGCCATTTAGTTTTAGTTTTGATCATTCTGGAAACATATTTGTTGCTGATCAATCAAATCATCGAATTCAAAAATTTCAATATATCGAAGAATCATGTGGTAAGTTTAGAATGATCGAATAAAGTCTCTAATATTATTTCAATCAATATTTATTCAGAGAATTAAAACTAAAAACTATCATAGAAGATGAATATAAAACTCCCAATGGATTTCGAATTGAGTTATTGAATAGTTAAATTTAAATTTCAAGCTTTATTCTAATATACTATTGTTATAAAATAAAAACCGTGCTTATTCATAATTCTCCACAAAAATCAATCGATAACATTATTGTCATGTTAGTTGCATGATACAGATGGAAGTTAGAATGTCTATGTATTTAGTAGAAAAGTCAGAGATGAATTCAGCCCTTTTTGTTAAACTTTCTTCATAAATCTGTTTCAATTCATTTCAAATAAAATTTTCATCGAAATTCATCAAATCTTCATTGAACTAAAAACATTTCGAAGTAAATATCGATGTGAAGAAAAGTTTCTCGCGTCGAATTCAATATTTAGAACCAAAAAAGTTTCACAAATTGCTTTGAAATCAACAAAAAGTCGTTTTGCATAGTTGTTCAATGCTCTTTCAAATTTGTAGATATAAAACATCTGTTAGAGAGAAATGGCCTTATGTTCGAGTGTTAATCACCACTCGTGTCGCAATCATAGAAATTCAGAACGTTACCTTTGCTCTCGAAATGAGATAGAGATTATGTTATATTTGAGGCCATCATTTTGCTTGATGAACGAGAATAGAATCAGAAATTATCACAAAGGAATGAGATTTGAACGTAAGTCAGTGTCTTCAGAAAAATACCAACAACGAGAAGAAGAAAAAAGCTTTATTCTTACCTAGTTATTCAAGACACGCTTTATTCGAATAAAGAATAATTAAAGAGTCGTTCTTGTAATATTTTAACACTAGATCGAATATAATTTCCAACCGACATTTTCTTGATGATGTCATGCTACACTCGTAGATTGACTAGAACTTTATGAAATAGTTTACTGTTATGGTTAGTGATATCGACAAAAAACTAATGTTCTGCATTATATTTAGAAACGAAGAAAAGTTTGAAGTTAAAGATGATAATGAAGAAGTGATAAATTTGTAAGTGTATGACTTATCAGACTTTCTTAGTCCACAATTGTACTTGTTTTTGTATATGAGGCTTTATAGTATTTCTTTATTATAATTATTACAGCGTCTCTTGGGAAAAACATGCAGATTTTAAGAAGTAACATCGATACTTATTGTAAAGACGCTAAATAGATATTTTATTTCATGTTTTTTTTAATTTCTCTAGTAAAAGCATTACTCTAAAACAAACGATTCTACTCTTATTAGTAAACAGAGTGAAAAGCAAACTAAGAATATGTACAATTATTTCTTTTCTTTATTCTAAATACAAATACTCGTTGATTTTTTTTCATTCAATAGATAACTCACTACAAACAAAATCAATGTATTCATCATCACTGACCTCGAATAGTTCAATTTATTTTCAGGACTGTTCAGAGTTAGATTCATATTATGAAGTGATACAAATGAATGTCACTATAACTGGATATTTTATTTTTCAAATCAATAGTGAGATGGAAAACATGTATGCCTATATCTATACAAATAACTTCAATCCATTCGATGTGTCCAAAAATGTCCTCAGCCATAATGGAGACTATCGTAATCGGGGCCAATTTCAACTCACACCTGCTCTTGAAGTTAATATGAAATACATTTTCGTTATGACAGCAACTTCTCCGAATACAACAGGAAATGTTTTAATTCAAGTATTCGGTCCAAGCTATGTCGATTTCAATAGTATCTGTAAGTATCTATAGTATTTTAACGGATAATCAATTTCACATATCCATCATTGGTAGAAAATATAGATAAACTCGATCTAAAAAATGATATACAGATATTTCTATTCGATAGAGACTACGAGTCATATCATTTCCAGTCACTTTTGGTGAATGTATCTAAGAGAGGAAATAAAATTTCAAATTGTTTACACTTATTTCTATACTATATAAAATTGACTCGATTTTCTTTTTTGTTAGTGATTACTTCATCAGTTATTCGAACAATTTATACATCAGAGCTGACAACGAATAGTCCACTGTATTTTCGTAATTGTTTGGTATCAGGTTCTTACTACGAAGCGATACAAGTGAGTGTCACCAGAAGTGGCCTTTACACTTTCTTCAGCAAAAGTAGAATAGACACATATGGCTCTATCTACAAAGATTATTTCAATCCATCCAATCCAAATGAAAATCGGCTCGTATACGATGACGACAGCTGCAATCAAAAACAGTTTCGATTCACAATTACCCTTGAGACTAGCATCACATACATATTGCTTGTGACAACGTGGTATTCTAATATAACAAGTGTATTCTCGATCTTTGTATCCGGCCCAAATAATGTTAACCTCAAGAAGATCAGTAAGTATTTACACTACAACTCTTAAATGAATATCTGTCAACGTTAGCATGAGTATTTAGTTGAGTTTGGCATATCCATAAATAGAAACTTGTTTTGTAAGATGATATTTATATTACAAGACGACAATTTTACACAAACAACTATATTAAATTCAACAAATAACAGAATATTGTGAATAGGATCAGATGGTAATCCCAACTTTGGTCGAAAAGAAAAAATCGAAAAAAGACGTGGTAGGTAGCGTCAATTCTTCGACATTTTTACCATTCGACGTTTTTCCTTTCGACTAAAGTAGGGTGATCCACCCACCCACCTACACCCTTCATGACATATTTTATCGAGGGTTTGAGTACAGAAAAATGTTTGGAGGCTTTATTCGCACTCTCCATTTACAGCTTAATTATTTCATCAAGAGTAATATTATAGAGAGTTGTCTCTTCAGAAAGCCAGGCTCAGCTTCGACGTACCTTTCGACTTTCAGGGTATATAAGACATGACTTATAATGCCCAGTTTTATTTCTTATATTATACAGAAGATTCGTCTTTCTATCAGTAAATCAAGATCTATCACGAATCTTGACTGTTATATTTGTTTTCATCACATAGATTCTCCATCGGTCATCGAAATACTATATTCATCAGCTGTACAATCGAACTATTCATCAGAGTTGAATACTAGTAGGCAAACATATTCTCGAGATTGTCGAAAATCAAATTATTACTATGAAACTATACGAATGAATGTAGTGGAAACTGGATACTATGCTCTGACTAGTGATAGCAGCATGAATACATTTGGTGATATTTATAAAGATTATTTTAATCCAATGAATCGTTTCGAGAATCTACTCTCACAGGATTATCGAGCATGTAGTTCTCAAGATTTCAAGTTTATCGTTTATCTTCACACTGGTACTACATACATATTAGTGGTCACAACATCTTCTCCAAATAAGACAGGAAACTTTTCCATTCTAACATCTGGTCCAAAGAACATCACTTTTGTTCCTTACAGTAAGTATTTTGTATTATCTGTAAAACATCAACAAAGAAATACAACATCCCACACGACTTCATTTTCACTCTTGAATACTAAAAGATCTGAGAATTTCAGATGGATTTCCAATCAGATAAGATTAAGTCTCAGTATTATAGCTTAGTCATGGTCAGGCGGATTGTACGAGTTCAACTAGTTGAGTAAATTAATACAACTTTTCTTCTCAGATCAACGATCTATTCGAGAAAACCTATTCTTTAGTGATTTCGTACTATCTAAGATTTTATTATCTTGCAGCCTTTGAAAATCTATCGAGTTCATATGTAGACACATCTTTATAAAACTGAGTAAAATCATCATGAGATATTGAACAGAAAATAGGAATATAAAAAAATAATCTCCATAGCACATACCATGTGTAGATAAATGACTTTGTTAAGTTGAGAAAGGTTGAACTCATTTCTGAATGACCATGTATTTATTTCTTCAGCTCAAATTCTAACAAGTTGTTTCGTTGGCCAAAAATGTCAGTTCTACAAAAAAAGTATTGGTATCATTCTCGATGATATTTTACGTGATGAAATTCGACCGAACATGACATTGTCTGATCAAACAATATTGGTGAAAGTCAATGTCGCTTTAACGATAATTATGTTTGCAGGGGGTTTGATCAATAGTATTTTGTCTCTATTAACATTTCAAAGTAAAGATCTACGACAAGTTGGATGTGGCATCTATCTCTTAGCATCATCAATTACTTCTTTTCTTACAATCAGCATGTTTACAGTGAAGTTTTGGTTCGTTGTTCTCACTCAAATGAATCTATCGATTCGTCTTTCTCTTGTTCGAGGAGGTTGTGTATCGATTGAACCTCTTCTCAAGCTTTGCCTATATTTGGATGCTTGGCTTAATGCATGTGTAGCCATTGAAAGAGCGACTCTCGTTTTCAAAGGAATCAAATTTCCTAAACAAAAAAGTCAATGTATTGCTCGATGGATGATTCTCATCTTACCATTCTGTGTCATGAGTTCAATCATTCACGAACCTGTATATCGAGAATTGTATGAGATGAAGACCGAGACGAACAAAGTGGATATCGATAGATGGTGTATAACTCGCTATTCTCCTTCTATTCAACAATACAATACAATCATCTTATTTTTTCATCTTGTCGCTCCATGTATTATCAATCTTTGTTCTGCTTTATTCATCATATTCGGATCAGCCCGACAACGAGCAACAGCTCAGACAAGACAAACTCTAAGAGAACATGTTTATAATCAATTTAAGGAACACAAACAATTATTAATCAGTCCGATCATTCTTCTGATTCTGTCCATACCCCGTCTGATTATGTCAATGTTATCTGAATGTACCAATCCGTCTAACCATCGTTGGTTATTTCTTTTTGGTTATTTTGTTTCATTTGCTCCATCGATGCTTATCTTTATTGTGTTTGTCCTTCCTTCAACATTGTACAGAAAAACATTTCAAGAATCATTCAGACGATGGCGACGACAAATTCATCAGTAATCAATGTTTCTTCATTATTTCAGAACTTTTCTAATTTATTGGTATAGTATTCACTTCGATTTGACAATTAGTCGAGAAATGTCGAGTAAACAGAACGACATTTTCCGTCTTTTGCATAGACTATCGGATAATGAAAGACAAACTTGATGAATTTATGTTAATATTGTTTCTAAGCTGTTGGAAAATGAAGACGAAAATTTATTCATCATGTACATCCATACTCATGACCAAGGCGAAATCTGATGTAGTTTTCATCTTTAAAAATATTATTTATAAACTGAAAATAATTACACAAAATGTCGAACTAATGTTAAAATACAATTCTAGCCTGCTTAACATTTCAAACTATCTTGAGGGTGTAGGTGTGAGTGTGGGTATTGTTCATCTATTAGCGAAACTCACACTCATACCAGCACCCACACCCACCCTCAAGATATATATACATATATATATTGTCGTTAACATATGTTTGTAACGAGTATCTTACTTTTATTATTTATATATACTAATTTTTAATCTTTGCTTTTTGTTTTTCTCGCAAAAGATTTTATAAATTAAAAACCAACAGACGTTTATTTATGGAACAAAATCATTTTTCTTTTTCATTTCTCTGGATATTGGTATGAAACTGAGGATCAAATATATTTGCATAGAGATAACAATGTATATACAAAATAAGCAGGTGTTAACCGATATTTTTATACCAAATCGATTAAGAATAAATGACAAGTGAAATAAATCAAATACTTCAAATTCTCAATAACGACTAAAATGGATAATACTGTTCGATATACAATACAAGCTGAAATAAAACATTCAAACGGATAGTTTCCATGGATACTATATATGTTAATATGTATTTATCGATCGATGATTGTTAATTACTTGAAAGAATGACATCTATATATTAAAATGATCGTATCTTGCCCATCCCATCATTCGAATAATCCTTAAAAAGATATCTAGTCTGAATCTGTATTGATCTTAGTTTTGAAGTTAAACAAGTAAAAGAATATAGATTATATTTTTATATTTTGTTATTATATAAGACAACTTAATTCTAATTATATTTTTTATATAGATCACCATACCCAAATATAAATGAAAAAAATAGATTAATATATTCCTTCAAATTATTCTTCAAGAGCAGTACGAAATTCATCCATGGGGAAGTTAGGATCTGGCTTACGCCCAAGAGGTGCTGCAACCTCCTTGTGTCCTACTACACGTGCAGTTGGAACACCATAAGCTGCTTGAAGAGCTTTAACACCACGTATATAACTTTGATATTGTACTTCGGGCCAATGGTCATGTCCAGTATATTTTAATGGAAGACCAGTTGCTTCTGCTTCGATTCCAATAGAATTTGAATTTCCAAATACTGAGTTATCAGTAACAACACCAGCATGATAAGAAATGCCAGCTGCGATGACATACCATTTACCAGTACGACCTAATCCTAGTTGTGCAAGTGGACCAGAAACAGGTTTGGCACCAGTTCGACCATCGCGGACAACACTTAATGATGGAAAATCACCTTTAGCAGCACCTGCTGTATGATGACAAATAATACTCTTAACAGAAGTCATTTGACCATGACCACGTGTTGTCCAACCATCGACTTCAACAACCTCAAGTCCAGCATTACGAAGAATATCAGCTAAATCTGTGAGCATTCTTTTAACTGGTGTTTTATCACCGATAGGTACTGAAGTAGATGCCATATTACAGCATTGATTAGTTGATGAACCAGGGCAAATACCAGTGCTTGGGATACCACCTCGACTTGTACATAATGTTGCATTCATACAATTGGCGCTAAAATCAATATCATTATCTTTAAGATCAATAGTAAAAAAATATTCCTACCATGAACAACATTGAATATTGGCAGCACCACTACAAAGGTTTTTTTGTGGAATTCCACCTTTAGCAGCACATACAACAGCATCTATACAAGCACTCGAAGACCAACATTCAGCACCAAAACTAAATCGTACATAAATGAAAGCCACACAGGCTATCATAGCCAAGAAACTAATACTAGACATATTTATTATTATTTCTTATCAATGAAATACGAATGATATTTATTTGGAGCACTATAAATACATGCCGATAACGAAAACAAAAGATTAAAATAAAGAAGCCATCAGCCACAAAAATATTTACTTTTATTCTTATCAATAATATTGAAAACTATAAAGATTAACAAAATAGAGTCTTTGGTTACAAAATAAATTGAATCAGATACATCTATTCGGTATATATCCTCTTCGCCGAAAATCACATAGACGAAATGCAGACCACCGAAATTAGATACGACAATCTATTATTTCGATGATATACACTTCGACCGTCTATCATTTCTAGGATTACACTTTCGACGAAGCGCCAATCGGCGACACCATCTTGGGGGTGTGGGTGTGTGTGGCGTCTGTTCATCCGTGCTCACGCTCACACTTACTCTCACCCACACCTACACTCACACTCAAACCCTCACTAATAACATATCAGACAAAATATAAACACATTGTATTGATATCGAAAAAAATAGACCGTAACATCTCGTAACATTCGATGTATCTCTTCATCTGAAACAACTGACTAAAAACGATACTTAATTGTGAAACTCTCAGCAATTTCAACTGCTGTAGAAAGTCAAACAAAAAAAACAGCTGGGCATCGAATGTATTTCTTTTAAGTACTGAGCAATAAATGAAAAGAAAGAAAATAAGTTTGTGCTTGTTTATTAACATGATAATTATAGTTCATATTATATTTTTGTAGAGCTTTACATCAAAGCAAAAGCAATAGTTTTTTTCTCGTCAAGTAGTAGTATTATCTTTCTCATTGATAGATTTGATAAGATTGTAATAAAAATGATCTGTTTCATCGTGTGATTCATCGGATACCCGATCATTATAAACTGAATCTTCATAGTCCTCAGATTCACTCCAATATTTTGTATGGCCGGGAAAGAACTGTTGAAGCAATTTGCTGACACCTTGTAAGACAACGTTAACCATGAAACCTCTCCAGGTCACTTTCGATTCCATAGCTTTGAAATGATGTGCATACATTGGTAGTTCGGATCTCTCTCCCACATGGAATACAATGGCTTGTGCTGGAACTAAATATGAATTAGACACGAGTTGTTCTATATCCACATCTGTATAGTTCAACCGGATAACTTCAGTTTGCAGCTTAGCAACTGTTGCTTCTCTTAATTCGACTTCCAACTTGTTGCGCATCGTTTCGTGAAGTTCATATTGTCTTTCGAGTTTATTGTGCGACGAATTAAACCTTTTGGTATCCTCGTTATTACTCGTTATTTTATGTAGTTGATTTTGTCTTTCAAATTCAAACTCTAAAAACTCTTCTAGTTCAGTTTTATTAGTGATGCCTATCATTTCGAATACTTGATTTTGTCGACTTTGAAATTTAGTATTCCAGAAACCTAATTTATACCAATCACCTGGTACAAAATTGAACGCTTCAGTCAAATGAAAAAGTCGCAGTGATATATCGGACACAGGTTTTATGTGTGCATCGAAATTTATTTTCACATCCATACATACTCGAGGATCATCTTTGGAATATTCAACGACTGCTCGAAGAAATTCTAGCCAACGTTGTTCGTCAGTAATACGACGCATAACCTTGATACCAGCATTCATACCCATTCTCATGCAGATAATGGTGTGGTTGATTTAAAACTGAGTAAGCGTACGCTGTTATATAGTATTCATCTATGATCGTGAAAGTGAGAAAAAAACCCAGTCAGAGGTGAAAAAGAAAGCGAGATAAAACCCAGTCAGAAGTAAAGAAGAAAGGAGAAAACTGAAATAAATAATAACATACATCTACAAGAATGATAAATTATAAAACAGTAATCGTCTCTGTCGTTTAAAAAAGAATGACTCAGAGTCTGAGATAAATAATTGTAATGTCAAATAATCAAAGTCTTTTTAATGAAACCGTACAGTTCTCAACACTAGTTATTTCACATATATGCGCTTGAACATAGATATGTTCTTTTCTTGAGCGTGAGTGTGGGTGTATGTGAGGGCGTGGATATGGGTATCGTTATTCTCTTTACTCATCCTGACCCACCCCACTCATACCCACACCCTAAAGATTATAATTTTCAAAAATGTATATGAAATCCATAGAGCTAAAATATCATAGATTATATATTTTTATTAGTAAAAATTCGTTAAAATAAAAAAAGATATTCGATGTCATTTTTTTAGAAATATAAATTAACTTTAATCTAAATTCTAGAAGTGTTATTTTACGTTTTCATACCCAGGTTGAACCACTGATAGATCCAGTTTGCGTTATTAGTCCAGTAACAATGGACTGTAAACTATGTGTTTCTGATACAAGTAAAATATCGGTACTGCCATCCACTTGTGAAGATTCCCTTCGAGAAGAGACTTTATCATTTCCTGGAATCAATTTCAAAGTTTTGGCTGAAAAATTATTAGATTGAGCTGTTTTTCTTCGTCCATTTTTGAATAGCCAACTTAGGCATTTCATTCGCGGTTTCTTCAACACACCAATCTGTTCACATACGTTCCATGCCATATGACCAATATTATTTTCATAGGAAATCATAGTCCTGTCATGCAAAAGATCTTTCATCCAAGATCGGTTGAAATTGAAATTAGGTTCAGTTGTGACTACAATTAAGCCTTTCTTTTCATCTCTTGATTTATTAGTAGAAATGATGTAAGATAATTCTTGAAATTTATCAGTACTTTCACCATAGGCTGTTGATACCAAAGTAATAACCACTGTTGCCGATATAATATTTAGAGATACATATTCCCACATATCATCAGACAGGTCAACATTTTCATAGTCAATCCAAATTGGTATTGTTGTTCTCTTACGCAACTCTTTTACAAATTCTTTACAAAACTCTTCGTCGGTACGATCATAGCTAATGTAGATTTTCGATGACATTTCTTTTTTCTGTTCGTTTGTTGATATAATTTGCTGAATATTACACCAAATACGCTTAGCATCATCGCGTTTTGGACGATTAGCAAGACTTTCTATGATTATACAAAACTGATGATTATCAATTAATTGTTTGAGATGTTCTGGATAACTAGAAATCTGTAACAGAATTCGAAGTAAATATTTGACAGCACGTTTCTCGAGTTCATCTGGTTCTGGATCTAGCAGAGCTCCGTAAAGGGATAAAAAAAGTTCTGTAAAGTATTGTATTGCTGTTGATTTTTCATTGATCTTATCCTCCAAAATATGTTTGATTACATATGTGTTTGCGAAAGCACGATCTAATAATTCCAGAAACTCCGATAAATGACATCCATCAAATGTTAAGTCATCTTGTTCAATTTTCTTGCACAGTTGGTATAAATTTTCACTAGTATCAAGAATCAGTTTTTTGTTTTCTTCTGATTGTTCATCACTAGTGGCAAGTGCGATTAATACCCAACCATAAGCTTGTGTCAACTCGCTATCGTTTTCATCGTTGATTAACTGCTTACGCTCCATCAAAATATCGAACGCTTTTTCTGTACGAAGTTGTTTTAAAGCTGTCTTGTCTCTCGTCAAATTGTAAACAATATTAACTATTGGTTCACCTATAACATGTATATGAGATGCAAATATATCCGTACGAATCCATTGGATAATTTTTTGAATATAACCAGTATCAATAAATATAGAAATTATTGTAAGTTTATCGGTCAGATTACATATTAGAGTGAAAATGGAATTTGTTACACGTAATACACGTGAAGAAACGTGTTCGTTTGCCTTTGTTAGACAATTATTGATAAATTCTTGGAAAGAGATCATAAGAGAACTGTAACTGTTTCTAAATTCTTTACTTGACTGAATAATCATTATGGCAGCAAATTTGTAAGCATGAATTAGGTATTGTTCCACGATCTTATAAAATTCGATGCTTTTTTCTCGTGAAGATTCTTCATTAATTTCGACAGAATCTAAATAATTCAAAATATAAGTAGCGAACGTCTATCAATAGAAACCTCCCAGCACTGATAAACGAGCATAAATTTAATTCTGTAGTTATATAACTCAATAGTACAAATTATAAAGAATATATTACCGTCAGTTGTTACTGTCTCGTTTGAAAGAAGTTGTCGAAAGCATATATCAATAAAATCATCTTTTACAAGGTTCAGAAGTATTGCATCCAAAATGTCACTGGCAATGACTGGAGAATAATCTTTTTCATCACGAATAGACTCAATCAAATGATTCAATTTTTCAAACATTGACTGAAAAGGTTGTTGTGATATAAACAAATTAGATCCATCGACAGCAGAAATGCGTACAATTATATTTAATGTTGTAATAAGAAACATTGAACTTTTGTGAAAAATCATTTGATCCAATATTCGATCGATATTCTCAGTCATATTGTTGAAGATTGCCTCTATTTCAGTGATATTCAAATTAGTTGATAGACTTGAAAGTTTATTGATTTGTTGAAGCAGATTGAGATAATTAGGTTTTGTTGTTTCTAATGTCGCGTAGTCAAATTTTTCCATTTAAAACAAAATTTCGATTATATACGATATAATCGTCCAAGTTTCTTCGTCACTGACTATAAATGTAAAATACGTAGTATATTTCGATCATTAAAACTAGATTTGTCGTTTATAAAACGAAACATTAATAAAAGCATACTAATGGAAAGAGAAAGAAAAAAAATATAGGAAAGAAAGAAAGAAACGGTACCATATCCATTAGTAAAAAAAAGACATACGAAGAAAATTACTTATTCAAATATGCGCTTACCTTTCATATAAAAAAGATATGGTTGACAGAACGTAAACCCACGTTTTGCTATTGATAGTGTGGTCGTTTGAAGGACGTTGAAGAGCAGAAAGGAAAAAAATTTCTTTCTTCCTGCTGTTGCCGCCAGGCATTTCGTACGTTTCAAAGTTTCATCTGCATCCATTTTTTTTCTAAAATTGTAAGAGATAGATACTTAATATTAAATCATGAATTCATTAATTCAAACTGATATGATATTGAATAATGTATGTGTCCTATAGTTTTATTATTTTTCTCATTTTCTATTTCTTATTAGCCAATACCTTGGATAGATGCTATCGATCGGTTGAAATTTCAAAAGCGATCTTGTACAACATTCATTCCAAAAGAGTAAGTACACGTAATTATATGTAAATTTTAATAATGAAATATTATTCAATAAATTAGAACAGATAAAGAATGTTGCGTTTGCAATTATATTCATCCGAAAAGTGACGTCCCACATGCAAATAAAGTATGGAATTGTAAAATGCACACAAAGCAAGAAGTTACTAATTGTTATGGAATATTACCTCAATCAACTAGTCCTGTACGTTATATTGTTCTCTAATAAAAGAAAATGATTTCGTTCTTTTTTCTTCTTCTTCTTTTTAATACAGTATTTGCGATGTGATGTTGAAACAGACCTTGAACAACTTTGTTTCGTATTGTTGGGTGTATGGCATATGGCTAATCCTGGTCTTATTATGCGAATGATAGGTGATATAGATACAACGCCAAATATCAAAATAGAGAAAGAACTTTTACAAAGTATTTCTGATGCTGCTGTTGCATCTGGTAAGTAAAAAAAGGTATTCATAAATTCATAGAACAATACGTTTATCTAGATGCATGGATTATTACAAATGGGTACAAAGAAGAGAGTATTTCAGAATTAGTTGGTGAAGTAATGTACAATTGTCGAATGAATAATTCTCACATAAACTTCAGTGCAATTGCTGTTGGTAAATGGGGCAATATTCATAATCGTCACAAACTTGAGCAGAGGTTTGATGAACTAATTTTTTTTTAATTTAATATTGTTATTCTTAGAAATCATAACACACCGTTAACAATACAGAGAGGTCATGGACGATACAAGCTAGAATTAAACCATACAGAATATATATTTTTCGATGATGGTACATGTGATTCATTAGATACAGGAGAATTCGCCTCAAATTTCGCTCAGCAAATATCACGTGGAGCAAGACGAAGAATACCGCTGATTACTGTTCTCATCGGCGGTACTCCTCATTCACTTTCGTCGATATACACTGATTTGAAAAGATTAGTTCCAGTTGTAGTTGTTAACGTAAGTCATACATATTCAAAACAAACTTCACTATTGAATTCGATAGGGATGTGGACCATTGGCTGATACATTATATAAATACTTGAAGTTAACCGAAGGTTCATATAAATCATCAAAAAGTGATGATCAAGATGAAACTTTTAATGATTCTGAAGATGATTTGGGTATAGCAACAATTAATGAAATATTTCTAGAATATGATGAAATTTCAGGTTCATCAAATAAGAAAACGTAAGTTCATAAAGAAAAATCAAATATTCCTATATATATACATACACAGATTAAAAGAAATGTTGCGATCACTTGGTAAATTTCGTCTCGATTTTGTTAATGATGTACGAAAACTTTATCATATTGTGCGACAACAAAATTATGAAACTCAAGGTAAAAGATTACCTGTGGGTGAACTATTAAGTTTGGAAGAAGAAAAAGCTCTTGGAAAATATTTATATCAAATGGCGAGTTGTTTGAATGCTCCTTTTCGAGATAATATTCATATTTTTAATATCGATTCATCAAAATCTCTCAAGGAAACAATTTACTGTGCATTTGTTCAAGGTAAATTTACGAAATTCAAAATAAAATAATAACTTCTTTTTATCTTAATTAGCAAGAGATAATCTTTCACAGACGAAGAAAAAATATCATAAAACTATCGATGAACAATTACATTTGGCACTTCGATGGAGTATTGGTGATACAACTGAACATCAACCAGCGACTACTACAAAGATTTGGAATGATACCAATAAAGTAGAATGTTACTTTGACTTCTATTCATACAGTTTTTTTTATTCTAGATTAAACAAAATCGATTGCTCTTGATTGATGCACTTAGTAAAAATATGTTAATGTTCGTTATGAATTTTATGAAACTCGACATCGATTTTACCGTTTTATTTCGTCCTACTGATACTCCATTGCCAAAAGTTGCCTCTCATTGGTCTCATAAATACCATTATTTGCAAGAATTATACTCGGATACAAAGCGTAAAAATGTAAGACTAATCTATTTTCTGTACTCCATGATTAATCTTTTTCTTTTTTGTATACAGAATGATCCATTGTATTTACTGGATCAGATCAGTTCGAAGCTCACTTTCACAGAAGAAAAACATTTAGTAATTGTTTTACAAAAACTTGTAGGTGATTTCATGCTTCCACTGTATGAAACTCAATCAGATATTGAATTATTGTCATTGGAAACTGAAGGAGATGCTGAACATATATATCGTGATCTCTTTCTTTGGTGTATATTAACTTATCGACTTGATATGGCTAAAATCTTTTTGAGCCAATTGAAAACTCGTATTTGTTCGGCATTGATTGCTTCTAAGATTCTCAAATCATTAGCAGCTTATGCACCGGATCAAGTTGCAAAAGATACATTATTTGCTAAAGCGAACGATTTTGAAACTCATGCTATCGAATTCGTACGATGTGCTTATTTTAATGATAAACATAAAGCATGTGAATTGATTATGCGATGTACGAATATTTATGGAGGTGTTACATGTCTTCAAATGGCCACTGCTGCAGATAACAAAAGATTTTTACATGAAGATGCTTGTCAAGCTTTGTTAACGAATATATGGTATGATAGAGTTGATCCTGTTCAAGAACGAAAACGTCTTGTTGTTAATATACTTACATTTGGAATTTCTCAGTTTTTTATATCGATTTATTTGAAGCACTTTTCTAATTGTACTAGTGGGAAGCCGAAAAATCATGTAAGTTAATAATATCTGCAAGATGAATATTATGTCTATTTATTGATAGATCATCGGACAGGAACCTCCAAAACGACAGTACGTATTCAATGAAACAAACACAGGATAACTATTTAAAAAAATTTAGATTAAAAAAAAATGGTATCGATTACACTGATGATTATGATGCTCATGGAACGATATTTCAGCATTTTTTCCATTTTCACAATCGACCCATTGTTAAATATTGTTATACTTGTGTAAGTTCAATTATGTTTAATAGAATTTTTTCTCATATGTTTCATTTTAGTTTGGTTATGTTCTCTTTCTACTTTTCTTCAGTTATTATATGCTTTTTGCATTCTTTCCATTGTCAAAAGACAATCCGAATATTCATTGGACTGAAATATTAACCATCATTACCGTAACTACCATGCTCTTTGAAGAAATTCGACAGGTTTGTGTTTTGTTCTTTGACTACAGTTCTACATCTTTGATTGAATAGTTATTGTCTCAAGATAATCGGTCGTTAATTGGCAAGATTCGATCATATTTTGATTTGAATAATCGAATATCGAATTTATTTCTGGTTCTGCCAGCATATCTTCTATTTTATATTGGACTCGCTCTTCGTTTTACACAAAAAGATACCCAGAGTTTTCTATTTGCACGGTACAATTTATGATTAATTTAATATTCCAAGTATCTTTTTTTTCTAGAATAGTGATGGCTTTAGATTTAGAATTATCGTTTATTCGTTCGGTTTTATTCATCGGTATTGCGTCTGATCTTGGTCCTAAAATTGTGATGATTCGAAAAATGGTAGGTTGATTGTATTATTATGATTTTGTACCGTTTTATCGTCGTTATAGACTAATGATCTTATTTTATTCATTATCGTCATTGTTATATTTATTTTCGGCTATGGAGTTTCATCAAGATCCATGACAGCTTATGGTACGATTGATTTCAAAGGTCGAAATATTTTTCGTGATATAGTCTATCCTGTTTATTATTTTGTTCATGGTAGCATCGATAATGAACGTACACAGTTGGAAGGTATAGAAATATCATCTGAAAAAATATATTCGTTCATTTTTTTTCCATAGCTACGCCGGATTCTGGTACAACTATAGTGACACAAGTCATATTCGCTTTTCATATGCTTTTTGTTAATATACTATTGATTAACTTACTGATTGCTTTATTCAGGTATGTATAATTGAGAAAAAAAAGAAGTAATACAAATCTTGATTTAGTTTTACAATAAATGATATTCAAACACAAGCACATTATGTTTGGGCCTACGATCGTTGTGACATTATTCGTACTTATCACGCCCGACCAGCGTTGTTTCCTCCATTCACATTTCTCATTTCAATTATGCAATGTTGTCGATGGTGTTGGAAAAAATTACATAGAAATTGTTGTGCAAATAAAATACCTTATGAAGAACAATCTGAATGTTTCAGTAAATAATATTTTCAATTAAAAATGCACGCGTTTACCTAGTTGTATTCGTTTTAGAAATGATTCCAATTAATGATGATGTTGATTATGCATGGTCGGAATTTGAACGCTATTCAACCAATGGTTACATTCGACAGTTGCTCGATGATCAAGCTACTGCACTTGTCAAGGGAACGACTACAGATGTTACGTAAGTTGACACTAGCAAAAGTGAGGATATTGTATTGATGATATACATACATAGGTCTGAATCTTCATCAAACAATGCTGATGAATTAAAGCGTATCAAGACTCTCGTAAGTGATATTCAAAAGGATCTAGAAGACTCACAAACAGAAAATAACGAGAAATTGGAGTCAATGAAATCTACTATTACTGATCTTCAAACACGATTTGTTCAAATGGAAAGTCGTTGTGATCGATGGATGACAGATATGAAAGAAGTAAGTTTAATCTATTTTGCCTTCTCTGACATCATCTATCTAAAATGTGGAAATAGATAACAACATCAATAAATTGGATGGTGATGGCAATGGCAAATGCGAAAATGGGTGAATCAGAGCCTCCACTCATCAGAGACACATCAAGTAAAAAAACGTTTCTGGTTCCCTGATATTTAATGCGTCTTTATTTTATGTTATTATTAGGAACCAGTTCAATCAGTCAAAAGCGACTAAGTGATACTATTTATAATCGATCTAATCAGCAATTGAATAAAGAATATACAACAGCAGGACAACCATTGTTACAACAAGAGCGATCAGTAACACCCGAAGTTCGTATTAATATGGCTTTTCGAACAAACAATAATAATGATGTTTAGAATTTTTGCTCATTCATGAAGAATTATTGACATTCTTTTTTAGCTTTTGTAATAGTTTACACGTTTATATTCATCTTTTCATAACATGCATTGCTTTTTTAAATATATCAGAAAGAAAGTAGATTTCATCTTTTTTTCTTAAAATGGCTAGAACGAACTAGATCAACTTATTAAAATAAAAAAAACAATCATCCATCGTTTCATCGACTGTCGGTTTTCGTCATTGGAAATTGCGAGAAACTATCCGTAATATAGATCAAAAAAATATATTCGTATTCTTCTATTCAAGTTTAAATCCATACATGAAAACATAGGAAATCTGAATTGACTCTTCTTCAATAACAAATCATTTTAATATGTTGGCACTATTGGTTAAATATTTCAATATCAACCAACTTACGTCGTCAGGTGTAACTAAACAATATGTGTTGGTGTTGATATTTCTAATGATTTAACATATTTCTACTGATTATAGCAGCAAAGAATATCATTATCATTGAAAATTAAATCGTTTGAGTCTCATAAAATAAGACCTTACAACGAAGAGAAATTCGACAACAATCTCATTTCAAACCATCTTGAGGATGTAGGTGTGGGTGTCTTTACTCTTAGCTCACATCCACACCCACACCCACCCTCTGATATATACACATAAACAGGATGGAAAAATTCAAAGACAATGAGGGAAAAATAAGGAGAAAGAAAAGTACTTGAACGAGTCACCGTTTGGAAAATACTTCAGATAAAAAGGAAAAAATAATACATATGTGTAGATCCTGGATAAGCCATCTATACGATACAATCAAAAGAATGAAAAGAAAATATCCAACACAGACGAATGGTACTATAAACTCCAGTCTATAATAAAAGACCACTGGGTCTTCTATTATATTTCTCAAATTAAGTCTAAATTTACTAAAATCCTCATCAAAATACATATAATTTGTATAGAAATTTTTCAAGAAGGGTCTTCTATTATGGGAGGTTCTTCTATTGAGAGGGAGTCTTCTGTTATAGAGGGGATTTAACACCTGGATTTATATTGCTCCTTATACATACGATTTATTGCTCATTTAAATAAATTATTGCTCGTTTAGTATAATTATTGCTCATTCAGTATTATTATTGCTCATTTAGATTCTTTTATTGCTCATTTAAATATAAGTCTATTTGATCATAGAAATAGAATAATGTAAGTGTTTTGTGTTTGAATAGCATTACCTTGTCGATTTTTATAAATTATAATGTCTTCGATAAAATAACTATTTTCATCGTTCGGGTCTTCAGTAACATTAAACATGAGAGCAGAAAGAAAAAAATTCTTGGAGATTGTTTTTTTGCTTCAGCTAAATACGTAACTAAATTCTTTTTGCAGATTCTTTTAGTGACTGGCAATGGCAAAAATACTTAACCATTTCTTTTTCGTTCTTTACTTATTCCTAAGTAATATTTGTGTTTATGTTTGTTTCTTTCTCATAACAACATCTACGATAGTTACTAAAAAAAGTCTTTATTGTCCAATTCAAAAAAATAGAAAAATAGACCTCGATAGGAAGTAGAGACACTATAAAATGAAATATTTTAACGATTCTTTCATCTACAAAGTTTTTTTAAACTACTCAAATACAACACATTCTTACGGTAAATAGCAAACGATCGGACCAATGGCAACCAGCAAAATAAATGGGAAAAAAGATAATCACTCAACATCTGGTGTCTCTACGAATGCAACTTCAAATCGATGTATGAACATGCAAAGAATGCAAAATGTTCTTCTGATTTGGCTAGACAACAATATTGATGATGATAATGCTGATTGTAATAATACAATCAAGCAATTGAAACGTGTAGTTAACAACTTAAACACGTTTACTGATGATAATCAATGCATTGAATTTATTCAAACCATTAACAACAACAAAGTATGTATGATTGTTTCTGGTTCACTTGGGCAACATATTGTGCCTCACGTACATGATATATCTCAAGTAGACACCATTTTCATTTTTTGTAACAATCAAGAATGGCATAAACAATGGGCCAAACAATGGCCTAAAATAAAAGGAATCTTCACAGATATAACATCAATCTGTGAAGCTCTTAAACAAGCTGCTCACCAATGTGAGCAAAATGTAATTTCGATTAGTTTTGTGGCATCAAACAAAAAGTTGGATCAATTAGATCCATCATTTATGTACACTCAGATCTTGAAAGAGATCCTACTAACGATCAACTTCGAAGACAAACACATGAGGCAATTTATTACTTACTGTCGTGAAGTACTTGATGATGATGAAAATGAAATAAAAAATGTTGATCATCTACAAACAACATACAAAAACAACATACCCATATGGTGGTATACATGGGATGCATTTTTATATCGTATGCTTAATTGTGCATTAAGATCAATGGACGCTGATATCATTGTTCGAATGGGTTTCTTTATTAATGATCTACATCGTGATATTCAACGACTCCATTCAGAACAATTTGATGATCATCAGTCAAGTAAAACATTTACAGTTTACCGTGGACAAGGTCTTTCAAAAGAAGATTTCACTGAAATGACAAAAACTAAAGGTGGACTTCTCTCATTTAATAACTTTTTATCCACTAGTAAAAATCGTAATGTTTCTCTTAAATTTGCCCGACAAACTGCTACAAATCCTGATGTAGTTGGAGTTTTATTTGTAATGTCAATTAATCCGACTGATTCAACAACTCCATTTGCTTCTGTTACAGATGTTAGTTATTTTCATACAGAAGATGAAGTTCTCTTCTCTATGCATACCGTTTTTCGTATTAGAGATATTCAACTAATGGATGGAAATAATCATCTATATCAAGTCAATTTGACATTGACCAGTGAAAACGATCAAGATCTTCGAACTCTTAGTGATCAGATCCGGCAGGAGACATTTCCAGATGAAGAAGGATGGTACAGATTGGGATTATTACTGATTAAAATGGGTCAATTTACTAAAGCTCAAGAAATATATCAAATTTTACTTAATCAAACAACAAATAATGAGGATGATAAGGCAAATATCTACCATCAACTAGGTCGAATCAGATATTTTCAAGGAGAGTATAAAGAAGCACTTTTATCTTATGAAAAAGCTCTTGCAATTCGACAACAACTACTTCCTTCCAATCATCCTGATTTGGGTATGTCCTATAACAGCATCGGTATGGTGTACTACAAAATGGCTGATTATCCAAAAGCACTTATATCTCAAGAAAAAGCCCTTACAAGTCAACAACAATCACTTCCTTCCAACCATTCTGATTTGGGTATGTCCTATATCAACATCGGTAGTGTGTATTACAGCATGGGTGATTATCCAAAATCACTTTCTTATTACGAAAAAGCCCTTGCAACCAATCAACAATCACTTCCTTCCAATCATCCTCATTTAGCTTTATCCTACATGGGCATTGGTAATGTGCATAACAGCATGAGTGATTATCCAAAAACACTTTCTTATTATGAAAAAGCTCTTGTAATCCAACAACAATCACTTCCTTCTAATCATCCCGACTTGGCTTCTTCCTATAGCAACATCGGTTTGGTATATTATAACATGGGTAATTATCCACAAGCACTTTCTTATTATGAGAAAGATCTTGCAATTCTGCAACAATCACTACCTTCCAATCATCCTAATTTGGGTGACTCTTGTAACAAAATCGGCACAGTGTATCAGAGTATGAGAAACTATTCAAAAGCTCATTCATTTTATGAACGTGCTGTACAAATTGGGAAACAATCATTACCAAAAAATCATCCAACTCTTCGACAAAGGAGGAAAAACCTCGAACGTATGAAAAAGAAATTATAATTTCTTTGTCTTTTTTTTGAAAGTAAAATAAAACATATAAGAAGAAAATGTGTCCGTTGAAACTCTGTTCTTGTATAGAACATAATGAGCAGTAATACTCACTAGTAAGGTAAACAGTACATATTGAAAAAATATGTTTTGCAGATAAGATCTTCACGGTTACATTATTATGTCTGAATAAGTAGATTTTAATCGTGATAGTTGAGAATTTTGTGAAAACCTTGAAATTGTTATTTCGAAATCGAGCTTCGCATCGTATTTCACAGATGAGTCTCGACTCGTATGCCATCTTGTTCATATGGTTTTTGTTTAATACTAAGAAATATTTTTTTCTTCCATCGTATGAATGTCGCGATCTGAAATTTTAATAAAATATCTATTGCTCTGAACAGCAGATTTATGCATGTTTATAGCTTAAGATTGTGTCATATCTCATTGAAATCTATTTCATACACTTAATTCGAACTAACAACACATTGGACAGTCGATAAGATTTTTTTTTTCATGAGCCATACCATTCTTGTTGATACATTGAAGATAAATTGTAAAGATGCTGACTAATTAACGAATTAATTTTGTATTTATAGTTCTCTTTCTCGTGGAGAAGAGTCTTGCGAAAATAAATTGTTTATTTGTATGTCCGTAAAGTCAAAAAAACATCGAAGACCAATTCTCAGGAAAAGACAGTTCTTCATCTTGTCGAAGATTATATTTAAATGAATCAAATCGTCTTTTATATTCTTATTTTGTTTAAGTATGTCTTCTTGTTGTTTAGCCATTTTCAAAACAATTTCATCAAATTTTGATGATATTTCAGCAAGATCTGCTTGTCGATCGAATACATCCTGTTGTTGATCAAATATTGAATTAATATTTAAGGCTTAGCAGAATAAAAACAAAAGAAGTTAAACATTGGATATTTTTTTTTGAAAGGACGTGGCTACTTAGAGACAACATCGGAGTAAACTGAGGCTGATGAAACACAGTGATGTGAAATGAATATAGATAAGTAATTAAATGATCAATAAAATTGTTTCATTGATTCTCACGATTATAATTTATAACTATCGAAGCGTTCTTCAAAGTTATTTTAACTTCATATCATGAAATAAATATCTAGTGTTAATTAATGCAATACTGACCAAAGAGCTCACTTCATCGCTTTTTCAAATAACATGCCAAATTATTTGAAAATTTCAGTCGCTTGTATACATATGAGATTAAGGAGATAATGATATAGCAGTAAAAACTAGCAATTTTGCTCTCATATCTAACGTATACTATTTATGAACATGTAAAAGAACGAAAAAGTCTTTTTAAACATTATTCAAGTGATCGCAAAAACGATTCATTATGTGTCGATGCAAAGAAGGTTATGCAGGAATGATTAAATGTACTTGTTTTTGTATACTCAAAAAATGAGTACACTACTAGAATCGGTCAATGTGTCCGGCCGGCCGTTTACACGATAACTTTCGAAAGGAGAATCAGACTGAGGTGAAATTTTCTAGAGTTTAGTCTCATTGATATCTCGGTCGAGTTCGAAGATGAGCCCAACCGGTTGTACCATAGCTGAGTTATAAAAAAATTCTCATCATTGATCAAACCATCCTTGAAGGGGGGTACAGGGAGTTTTTTTCAAAAAACATATTATTCTTAAAATTATTTATAACATATATAAATCGACTCAGTTTTGAACCAAATCGTAGCTTTCTAACAAAACATCGCCTGAAAAAGGTCTCAAAACGCACAAAAACTGTATCCACTAACCAAATTGCCTAGATATGTCTCAGATGACTAGTAGTGTTGGAATTTTTCAAATACCTGATTTTGTAGCTGGTCAAAAGGACTATCGAAAGGTAAAAACCCCAACTCGATAACTATTAATATTGGTGAATTATTATGAAAATACTCGTGTCTGTATCTATCATATATTTCTTATAGATTCATGAGGTTGCTTATGATCGTGTCAAGAGCTCTAAATAATGATAGGGAGTAAATATGGTGCGTTTGAGGTTTCCTCAACATTACACTGTCCGAAAACGATGAAAAACTCACATATACTGACACTGCCGTTAGAACTTTTCAGTGTTGACTAAGAATCAAAAAAACAAAGTCAGTGTCTATTTCTGCATTTATTTTCATTATATTTCTGTTAATAAACATTATTCTACAAAGAAGAAACAAGCAAACAATATATTTTGTTAAATAGATTTATTCTAATAAATTCCAATTGAAGAAGATATGTTCATTTTGACGAATAATTTTATAATTAAAGAGAAGTTTTTCATGAGAAATAATTTTATTTAAATTATTGATCATTTTGTCATCCGCTGTTGGAACATAAAAACTTAATAAATTCAGATAAGTATGATTAATTTGTCTAAGAATCGATGGAATATCTAAATTATGTAAATAATCAATTTTAAGAAATGATAAATAAGGAGAAAATTTCATAAGAAAATCGATTTGTTTTATATTTGTAAGATTTCTAAGATAAATTTTCTTAATTTGACTTGTTAAATGTATTGAATAAAGAATAGAAATTTCTTTTAAATTTAAATCTCTTAAATCATCTTCTAATAATAATGAATGAATCTTTAATGATCGAAGTTCAAATAAACAATTCGTTATTTGCAATAATAAACCAATAAAAAGATTTTCTTTTGTAATTTCTAAATGATGAATTTGTGTGAAATTTAAAATACGATAAATATCATTTGGAATAAAATAATTCGATTTATTTATATTTATTCGTGAAATAATTAATTGATTTAATTCAAATAAATTTTCTTCATGAAACCATTGTTTTCTAAAAATATACAAAAAGAAGATCAAATATTTTATGAAAATTTCTTATTTACTTATAAGGCAAAATAGAAAAGAGAATATTTTGATTATTAATTTCAATTTCTAAAATCCATTTTCGTTCAATCCAAAATGATCTTGTAAAATCATTTGTTTCTTCATCATCATCTCTATCTCTTAGAATTCTATCAACATTTTCTGTATGTTTCAAATAAAATTTATCCAATTGAGGCATAAATTTTAAAACAAGATTTTCCCATCGAGAAGCATTGAAATACTTGATATTTCTATGATAATTTTTAAAAGAAAAAACCTTTAATTTTGAGCCAATTTTACTAATTAATACTTCAAAACATTCAAACGTAGTGTGCCAATCAGTTAAACATATGGATAAATGTGTTAAATTAGGCCATATAGAAGGATAATTTGTTTCAAGTGATGAATCATAATAAAATAATTTCATAAGAGAAACATAATGAATTGAAGGCATATATGATAATATTTTTGTTATAGCAGGAAGAAAACATTGATAATCAATAATAAGATATTCTAAATGACTCATTTGTTTATTTGGATTAAATGATGAAAATTCAAATGAACCGGAATAATCATCTATTGATAATTTAAAATATTTTAACATTTTTAAAGAAAAAATTTCATAATAAATTTGAGAATAACCAATATTACATTGTGACATTTTAATTGTTAATGATTTGAGACATGGTAAAGATTGTAAATTTGAAATAAATAAAAGAAGTTCATTTGAATTAATTGAAGTAATACGAAGTGATTCAAGATAAATAAATAATGAATCAATTAAATTTATTGAAAATGATTCATTTAAACTAAGTGAATATATTTGTTCTTTATTAAAACGAAGAATTTCATTCGAATTATTAGAACAATATTTGATTTTTAATCTCAATGATGAAGAATTAATTAATTGTTGAAAACGATAATTAATATTTGAAAATATGTGATGGATTTGATAACCATCAAGATAATTGAAAATTTCATAGAATAATTCATTTGAAAAATCTTCAATTATTGATCTAGAATTGTCTTTCATGTTTATATGATATTGGACTTTCATTATTTCAATATTATATATAGCAGACATATCCATGGCAGCGCTGCCGTTACCGCCACTGCGGCGGCGGCGGCGCGGCGTGGCAGCGGCGGCGGTCGAATTTTTGGAAAGGTTTATTTTAATTTCATCGAAAAATCAATAATGCTTGAGATTATAATTTTCCCATGATTCACATAAAAAGGAATTTCCTTCTGTATCAGTACATTCCATCGCTATTGCACCGTCTAACTAAAACAAAAGTGTCAATATCGTGCGATTGAATCATGACTTCCTTCGAGAACAAATTATTAACAATTTCAGAATATATACTTTATCTCATTACAACTGATGTATTTATTAATAGTTTATATCTTTAAGTAACATAGTAACTTGAGGGTGTGGGTGTGGGTGTGAGTATAATTGAAGAAGATTTTAACCGACACCCTCAAGATGGTTTTCCAGTATGGGATCTTCGACGATTTATAATCGGTTTGAAGAAGCTTCTGCTAGTAAGTACTTTCGAATAATCCGTTGAAAAAGTAGAATATGTTTACAAAATAGACACAGAAAGCAATCTTTAGACTGAATCATTCATAAAAAAAAAGAAGATAAACAGTTAAGACTAGCTATTAAATCGATCGAATAAATGTTTTGATTAGTCTTGAGAAATGATCATAAGGCTCGTTAATTGTTGTACTTTACCTTTATAGCACGATGTTCATTGTTTGCAATTTCCGTCAATAACATTCACAATTATACGTTAATGAGTTTATTGATCATATTTTTGTATATCGGCTCTATAGTATCGAGTGTGTTAGCTCAATAGTTATATTCATATGTTTCTCGCGAGCAACTGGTGAAACCTTACTGATGGATGTGTTGGTGTCGGAAGATACTCATTTGCCTTATTTGTACTTCAATTTGTAATCGACCAGTGAATGCGTTGGGATATCGACCATTTGATATTCTTTTTGATATTCGATATACATCAATGCTCACTATGCAAATACTTAGCTTTTCATTTGTCTTCTCTTTGCTTTTTTTCCTTGGTATTAAATATGCATCAATTAAGCGCATAAGTTAACAAGAGAAATCTCGTCCACATTGGTCAGAACACAAATATATTTAAAACATTTATTGAAGATAAGACTCCTAATATTTATCAACAAGGGTGAGTGTGAGTGTAATCTTTTCACTCGACACACACCAACACTCGTACACCTCACCCTCAAGATGTTAAGAAAGAGAAGAAAACCAACGAAAAGCAAAAAAAAGAAAAGAAGAAATACACATGCGTATATTATACACACGAAGGAGAGGTAGAAGAATTCGAATAATATTACTGAAATTTTCTTGTAGTGTGCTTTAACAATCCTTGTAGCCAATTACTATACTTTGTCTTCTTTCTGACTTGATGTGTTGAAACAAGAATATTTTCGTCGACAGTACGCAAATGAAAGCGTTGATTGGGTCCGCCATGGAAGCTATACAATTGGACTTGCGCTCCATTCTGTCCAGCACGACCATAAGGATCATTGTAGACATCGAGCACTTTTCTTCGAGTGGTTGGTCGCTGATGAGTAGGCCAAATATAATACTCGCTATTATTGTTACCAACACTTTCGAATGTTAATGTTTGATCTGTATTAGCGTTGAGTACAAGAGGTGCTTCATTATTTAATGATTCTTGATAAATACAAAGAATTGTGTTGGATTGACAGTGTCGCAAGCGATATTCACGATATCGAATATGTTCGAGACGAAAGATACGCTTTTCAAGGGGCCCAATATCACCAACATAAACTCTACTATTTTGTTGTTGAGGTATGATAAATTTGTGTCCAAAGACATTTTCAATTTCATACAGTCCTTCGGTTATTTCCACACTTCGCTGATGCCAGTCAAGCAAAGCTATACTGTCCGCTTCGTAGTCTATTACATGCAATGTTAAACGATGATAGACAAATCCTACTTGTATTTGTGATTGCAAATACAGTTGTATAGCGACGTTCGAATAAAGCTGTCTCTAGTTAAAGAATAGATAAATTCATTGATTTATTTCTTAAATAATGGAAATGTTGAGGATGTGGGTGTGGACATGAATGTGGATAAAAGAAGAGTAAAACACCCACACCCACCCTCAAGAAATGAAAGACTATACTAGATCCTATGTCTGTACAACGGTTTTTCATTAGACTTTAAGGTATAGAGCTAGGAACTGGTCTATCTAAAGAAGCCTTTATACTTTTAGACGAGGACAAGATGTCTTCTTATTGCTCTTTGGTCTGTTCTATATATGTCTAAAATTCGGAAATCTTGAAATAATTCTTCATATTTTTTAGACTAGGTGAAGTTTCCCTCGACTTTTCATCAAATAATTGTAGAGATTAAAAACTTTTTTATGAATTAGTACAACTAATTTCTTATAACAAATACCGACATGTTTGTTTGAAAAATCATGTTGGAAATGAAATTTTCCGAGAAGAATGGTCACTCTTAACATTTTTACTGCTATCGGATTCGAAAAGAATTTATTATATCTTGACTTCAATCTTACTTGCTTATCTACGATTGAAAAAGATTCCAAATTCCAGTGAACAAATTGTAAGTAATCACGTATATCATGGCATGCTGTTGTGCAGAAAATATCAAGCATTTCCACATTTCCACAGTATTTTATCAAGCAGTCTCGAGCAATTGAAAAATTGAACGATTGACCACCTATTGCCAGGCGACGAAATTGAGAACCGAGTTTGCTGAGAATGTAAATACTCACAGGAGGCGAAATATTTGCCAGATTAAGTGAATCACCAACAAAGAACTGTACAAGAGTAGTAAATCGTTCATCCAACTCATAGAAAGCATAGATGACATCCGATTTACGCATGTGCCGAAAGACAAGATAGAGTAGTTCATTGGGTAGTTGAATCAGATTGAAAGGATTCATTGTTTCGGAGAAACAACTAGGAGATAATATACTGTCTGTCATATACTACAAAAAAAAATGTCAGTAGTGAAAAAAAAGAGGATAGAAAGGAGAGAACATGCTACTCGGCACACCAAGTCGACGTGTTCGTTACAGAAGGAAAGAAGAAAAATCTTCTTCCCATTGGGCTTTGGTAGAGGAAGAACAATATTGATATTTATGAGTCGTTGTCATTCGGCATGCGCGTAGACAGGTTGGAAAAAACAAAAAAAAGGAGAAAATGTTGAAATAAAAACTGGTAATAATAAAAATCTCGAAGAACCTATAGTATCTAAAAAAGACTATAAAATCTAACTGCACTATTTTTATCTATTTGAATTAACGTTTTGGTTTTGAAAAAGTCTTCGGTCATTTCTCATAAAAGTTGTTTTATTTGACAACTGTTTTTTGTTATGTTTAAATACGAATATGGGAGAAAAAGTTAGAATTACAACAAAAACAAGAGAAAGGAATGACGGTAGTGATTCATTGATAAGGTACTGGGTTGGAATATAGTATTATGAATGGCAGAGAAAGAAAAGTAAGGCAAAAAAACACATAGATAAGAAAAAAGAAGAAGAAGAAAATATAGAGACCTATACGGCAGGGCTCCGCGTGGATGGAATAATCCCATTCCATGGGACAAACATTTTTTGTAAAAGTTCTATATTTAACGAAAGAACTGGATAATCATTAAGATCACGAAGTTCTTCTTTAGTTTGTTCAATATCTTCATGTAAGCCAAAATTTGGATCAAAACGAATAGGTGTAAGACTTTCTCTATTTTCATCTTCATGTATTCTTATTTGAAAGATCACTTTTTCCTTCATGAATAGATGATAACACTTCAGACATGATCACTAAAATAAATTTTCTTTATTTATTAATATTTGAACATTAAAAGAATAGATAAATATCAAGGAAAAATAAACTTATTAAATATTTACTGTATTGAGTTTTGTAGGGAATGGATACTGATGACACTAACATCCAAAGTTTTTCCTAAGAATGGTTATTGACTATAATAATCTTCTATGCCGAAAAACTATGAAATTAGACCAAATTTTTATTATCTCCGCACAAATATTTCCTTTTTCAATCTTTCTATACCATTGAAGAAAAATCGGTGATTAAATCAGGATTAATCGCGATTATGATAGAAGAAACGATTTTTCAAAATTGACGATTTACTGAAATCTTTTTTTATCAGGTACAAAGTTTTTATTATATTACCAAAAATCCGACATATATATTTATCAAAAATATTTTAAATATATTAGACTATGTTTTTAGACGTTTAATTGCAATAAAAAGAATTATTATTAAATTTGATGTCAGTAGTATCGTATTCATTTGGTTGGATAATCTTTATATAGATCAACGTCTCGTCTATTCTTTGTAGTCATTATTTAATTATGTATAGTGTATGAACGTCTAATTCGACTGTCCTCTGATGATTATTGTAATATCATATTATGGTCAGAACTATGATTTTAACAAATTTAGATTTTTTTTCGGCTGAATCTGAAGTTTTGAACTATCAGGTTATGTGTAAAGATCAAATTTCAGGATTTTTATAACAAGTTCTATTTGGTCAAATTTATATGTCAGCTAAAGTATACAAATTTTTTTTAATTCTAATTTCAAAATTGAGTTACGTATAATAATACAGAATTTTTTTGACGTTTTTATATTGTAGATAACAATAGCCACAGTAGTGATGCTGAAAATCAACCAACAGAATCGATATCGTCAATACAACAAAACGCCAATATTCCAGAAACAAATAAACAGTCTTCATAACAACGTCAATTAAAAGCTTAAGCTTGTGATATTTTGATAATTCATTATGTTTCCTTTTCTTTTATTGTGATTTCGTACATATGATCTAACTAATTCGGATGTTCTATTATTGATTGCTGTTCTTTTACATCTTCATATTCTGTATGTATTGTAACTATGATTCTTTACCATATCTCTTTATATGTTAATTATAAGTTTTTTTTTTGTTTACCTACTGTATTTATATTGTATGAATGATGCCTGTAGGGGAGTATACATCATTTTTTATAATTCTTTTATTTTTATTATTAGTTCTATCGTAACAAATGATACAAATAATTAATTATTTTCAAATAAAAAATAATTGAAAAATCTAGATGTAGTCAATCAATTTTTAATAAAAATACTGATTAATCGCGATTATTCGCCGATTTTCATGACATGGTATGATAATATATTGAAACATGATAAATTCGTTAAACATCACGAACAAGTATTAACACTTCGAAAGGAAAATAGTACTACACGAGGTAATACTTGTATAGGAAGCAGTTTCAATGCAATTATTCGCATACAACTCAGTCGAAATAAATTTAACGCAGCTTTTGATTTCGTCCAACAATCAATAACGTTTACAGAAAAATATAATCCAACTCATCATATAATGATTGTTGACAATCTTAGCATTATCAGTCGAGCTTTATTGTATCAAAATAAATTTGATGAAGCATTTGATTTCAAATAGAAAGCATTAAATATTCTAAAACTGCATTCTTCTACTGATACTACGAAACTTATTCAGAGTTTAAACCTTATGGGTGCTATTCAACGAAAACAAGGAAAATATAATGAAGTTAATGATTTATTTCAAGAAGTCTTAATAATCTATGAGAAAAATTCTCTATCTCTCATAGCAGATATTCCATTTACTTTTATAAGTCTTGATAATATCAAATATAACGAGAGAAGTTTTGATGAATCTGTGAATTATTATTATCGAATAGTAATATACTCAAAGAATTTTATGGTGCTGATTATAGTCGAATAGTTCTTTGTCTAAATTGGGTAGCATTTAATTATTATCAGAAACAATCTTATGATCAGGCAATTGAATTTTATGAACAATGCTTAAAAATTGACGAAGCCAATTCTGTTGCAGGACAATTAACTACTGATGAATTTCTTATGAGTTTAAGTTATATACAAAGAATTCGACTTCAGTATGAACGTTCTCTAACATACGAACTAAACTGTTTGTTAATGCGTAAAAATGTTCTACCACCCAATCATCAAAATATTGGTAAAAGTTTAAATAATATAGGTTTA